TGGACCCTGGTGAGAGTCGCAACTCCTCCTTATGACCCTCTCCTCAACCAGTCGTCCACTCCACATCAGGAGAAGCCTACGTTGGTTCCGGACCTGGTCACAGGGGTCTAAGTGAGTGTGCATCTGCTGAACGTAATGCCTAAGGCTTGAGACTTCTGAACTTAACATGCAGAGAAAATGTCTGTTATTAGACTGTCATTATTAAGTGTGTTTGCAGTGCTTAGAATTAATCTAAAATTGTTTGCTGTGAATTGATTATGTCTATTGCAGTGCCTAGCATTAAGGATTGTCGTTTTCTTGATTAAGAACCAATAGAGTGAAACTGTATTGAGTAATTTGAGTGAATAAAGCATTGAAAAGGGCAGAAGCCTATGGACATTCTTTTATTTCTTCCCATGACTTCACAATTTTGCCTCCTTGCAACTCCAAAGTACATGTATGAAGACACAAATTGGTGTGCATATACTTTATATACAACCAGAGACATGAAAAATCATGCTCTGTATGTGTAATTGTAATGCATTCTGCTGTTATATATAAATAAAAAAATTAATTAAAAAATAAAAAAGAATACAAATCGGGGGGAAATGGGCAACATATTTAAATGGACATTTATTTGAAAAAGAAATGGCCTACTAGTATGTGGAAAAAATGTTCAATACCACTAATCATTGGAGAAAGGCAAATCAAAACCTCAGTGAAGTATCACCTCACTCCAGTAAGAATGGTTGTAACATCAAAAAGATGAAAGGTAAGTGTGCAAACGGAGGGAAAAGGAAGTCTTGCACACACTTGGTGGGAATGTATATTAGTGTGGTCCTTATGGAAAACATCATGGAGGTTCCTAAAAACAAAAACAAAACAAAATAATAAAAACCCAAGAAAACCACTAAAAGTTAAAATAAAACAAAAGCCCACAGTAGAACTACTATGTGGCGGACAAGATGGCAAGGGAAGCGCGGCCCAACAGTTTTGCAGAGCAACAGACTTACAAAGCAGACAGACAGATGGCTCCTTAATGAGGTGAGTAACAAAGACACCTCACTGAAACATAATGGTAGAGTGTAAAAAAGAAAAATTATAGTTCTATAAAAAGTCGGATGTCTTTGAGTACAAGAAACAATACCTTAGAGCGGCGCCAGCCCCAGCAGCCATCAGAGTGGAGCAGGGAGCGCAGCCAAGAGATAACACGGCTGGCAGAGAAAAGAAGTTTTTAAAAATCGATTTAGGGAAGACAGTGGTTCACAGAGCAAGGCTGATTTTAATGGGCGCAGACTTGGTTGGTAAATAGCCCAGAGAAAAAAAATTCAAGTGGTCCGTTGGGTTGAGAGCAGTTCATGGTTTCGGGAGTCCCCGCAGCACAGCGTGGGGGCACAGCTTGTGTGACCCTGAACAGAAAAGGAGTGGAATTCATAAAGGACAGTGACCAGCCCTGAAGAAAAAAATCTCAGAGGGTGCCTGAACCAGAGAGGCTGAAACAGGCACAAAAAAGATTTTACCTGTACTATTCAGCCTCTGAGTTCCTAGGAAGAAAAATCCCATAAGAGCTCTCACAAAATGCGCATGGCAGCCACACAAGCGTATCTGCGCTCCAGGGCAGATAGGTGGTAATGCACATCCCTAGAGATGAAAAGGTGAAGCCTGTGGAGGCTGAGTCCGTAAGTTCTAAAAGAGGATTTTTCCAGATTCCCCAGAGATCCCAGAAGCCCAGCAGAGATAGAAAGCGCCACACCAGTAGGGACCAAATCTCTAATAACTACCAACAGAGCTTCAAAATCCGCCAAAGTCCAAACCCCAACAACTGGAAACTTCAGTCTAGAACTCTGCATTAGCCCGAATACGGAACTACACAAATCCATCAGCACTCTCCAGTCTATCCATGCAATACTGGGAGGTTGGAAGCTGGGAGCTGTTATACCTGATCAGCAGCTAGGCGAAGAACACAACGACAGTGGTAAAAAATGCAGAGCCAAAAATAAATACAAAAAAATGAAAATCCATTGGTGCCAACAAAGTTGACCACCACAGTGGAAATGAACCCTCTTGCTGTCATTGAGAATTTCTTTTTCTTGTGTTTTTAATTCTTTTCCTCCATTTTCCCATTTTAAAATTCTTTTGAAATTTTAACTTTTTATTTTTTCAAACATTTCATTGTATTATTTTTCAATTTTTTTTATTAGGCACAATTTTGTGCATAATTAGTTGCATAGGCTCTCACTGCATGGATAGATTTAATTTTATATATATATATATATATATATATATATATATATATATATACACACACACACATACACACACATATACACACATATACACATACATATATATTCATATAATTTTACTTACATATTAGTAGCTCTCTCCTGCATGTTTTCATTATTTAACTCAGATTAGACTCAAGAGGGGTACAGTTATGTAAGGGTTCAAGTTGCTTCAGTCTTATATTTGCTGGTTCATTCATACCTAGATTCTGGACCCTCTTATCTCACCTTTTTCACTCTTCCCCCAGTAACAGCCAAAATTTCCTGTTCCCTCCTCCTTTTTTATTACTTTCAGTTAGTTTGTTAATTTTCTTTATATCTGACACCTGCTCCCTATCTCCTGCTTCTACTCTAATCACTTTTTCAAACATTTCCAACTTTCCTTCACCTTCCTACTCTATTTTCCCTTATTTAAAAATGGTAATCCTACTAAATAATAGAAATTATATAAATTACGTAATTCCTCACCATTCAAGTTGCTATTAGTGGACAACATAATAGACACCTGCTGTCAAACACCAGATCTAGTTCAAAATTTTTAATTGTTGGTTCTGTGGAGCCTACCATTCCTGTAAAGGTGGCAATTAGTGTTATAGATGTCAAAGTAGACACCAGACATTTACCTTACATCTGTACATCTGTTGCTGACATTAGTGCCATTCCTGGTTCTCCCTCCCACTAAGAGGGGCTGAAAAGAGGTCAGAACACTTTAAGATCACAAAATAGAGATCTTGCTGCTAAGAAATACATCTCAATCAAGCAACAGTGAATCTCACCCAGAACATAATCTTGCCTCACTTGAGCCTTAACATTACTCCAACTCAAAGAACTGAAGAGACAAAAACTTTAAAACAACAACCAGGACCAAAAGAGAAATAATGAGAAAGGACTTCAGATTTCACTCCTTGACAACTACTCATGTAATAAAACCAGACAGAAGCCCCAGAACAAGTAAGGTAATTATGCACAAAAGGACACTCCATGCACAAGTCAAAGACTTCTGAAGACATGAGGAAACAGGCAAATAAATCTCCCATCTAAATTCACAATTCCCCAACAGAAAATCCCACTGATATGGAAATGGATGAGATCCCAGAGAAGGATTATTTAAAAACTGATTATTAAAATGTCTAATGAACTAAAGAGATGTAATGAATTAAGAGAGTGATACAAAAGACAAAAGACCAGATCAACAAAGGAATAGAAACATTGAAAAGAAACCAATCAGAACTCACAGAAATGGAAGACACAATGAATCAAATAAAAATTCACTTGAAAGCATCACTAACAGATTAGATTGCATAGATAATAGAATTTCAGCCCTTGAAGAGAGAACATGGGGCCTTGAAGACAGCATCTGTGAACTTGAGTACACAGTACACAGTGCAATAAATGAGAAAAATTATTGAACATGATCAGAATATACAAGAACTCTGGGACAACATCAAGAGGCCAAACGTGAGAATCACTGGGATATAAGAGAACATGGAGATACAAGCTATAGGTGTTAAGAACATTTTCAAAGAGAGTTATAAACAAACTTTTCCCACATCAGAAATGAGAGACATCCACATTCAAAATACATCGTAATCAAAATACCTAACTGAAAATAAGCAAAGGATATTAAAAACTGGAAAAAAAATACACCAGGTCACATTTAGAGGCTAATGAATAAGGATCACTTCTGATTTCTCAATTCAGACCCTAGAATTAAGGAGAGACTGGGATGAGTTATCCCAAGTTCTGAAAGAAAACAACTGCCAACCAAGGTTATTATACCCAGCAAAGCTCAGTTTCAAATTTGAGGAGGAAATAAAAACTTGCCATAATAAGAATAAACTGAAAGAATTCATGAACACCAAGCCAGCAGTACAAAAAGTATGTAAAGATAAATTGCACACAGAGGAACCCAGAAACAAATCCTAGAGATTCCAAATAGAGAAAGAGCAATAGAAGAGTAATATACTAAACAGTAATCAAGACAGTATTAAACATAGCAAACAATCAAAATGGCAGGAATCCACAAACACATATCCATACTAACACTGAAGTTAATGTCTCAACTCCCCAATTAAAAGACATATATTATCAGAATGAATAATAATAAAAACCCCCAATATCCAACTACATGCTGTTTATAAAGACTCATAGGTAAAGGCATCCTGAACTGAAGGTAAAATAATGGAAAAAGTATTTCATGCAAATGGAGTCCCAAAGAATGCAGGAGTTGCTATTCTCATATCTGAAAAGAAGATTTCAAGCAAAAATTAATCAGAAGAGACAAAGAAGATCACTATGTTATCATAAACGGAACAATACAACAAGATATAACAATAGTATATATGCCCCAAATGTCAGTGCACTCAATTACATAAAAAATACTCCATGACATTATATCTCAGATAGACTACAACACAATAATACTGGGTGATGATCATTTTAATACTTCCTTATCATCAATAGACAGGTCATCATAACATAAAATCAATAAAGATATTTCCAACATAAAAAATTAAGTGAACCTAACAGACATCTATAGATATTTCACTGCAAAACAGCTGAATTTATCTTCTCAGCAGTTCATGGAACTTTTTTCAAAATAGATCATATTCTTGGTCACAAAGTAAATCTTAGCAAATACAAAATTATTGGTATAATTCTATGCATCATATCAGTTCATAATGTAATGAAACTAGAAATCAACAGTAGGAAAATAAAACATGAAAACACATGGAGATTGAACAATACTCTTTTATTTATTTATTTTTGTCTGAAACAAATTTATTATGAAACATCTCAGAAGAATTGGAGTAATGACAGAGGAGCAGGGCAGGGAGAGTGTCCCAAGGAGAACAGTCTCTGATGACTTCTGCAGGTTGGGGCAGAGGAGACTCCTGATGTCCAGGTGGACGCAGAAGTGCTCTGGGCTGAAACCTGCACAGAGAAACCTGAGGTAGTCAGCACATGTTGCTCCTGCAGCTGTTCACTGATGTCTATGCAAGGTGTCAGGATCCACAGAGCACAGGTTCTCTGGCTGTGCACTGTTTGAGTCTGCTCACCTCTTCCCTTTATTGGAGCCACACTTTTTGAATCTTGCAGATTCCTGCCCTCTTACATTGGAGCCACCTTACTACTGATGCGTGACACACAGTAGCACAGTTGTTGACACAGGTATCAATCTTCCCAGTCACCTGCTTCCAGAAGTTTTCATTGGCATGGGGTTGCCCAGAGTCAGTCTGGGAGGCTTTATCAGGTGTGGGGGTCCTTGCAGATGGATAGGAGAAATGAATGGCAGCCTGGCTGTCCTTCTGATATGCTTCTGCCCTGATTATTGGGCCTCCTCAGGCAGTGGAGGCTCACAGGACAAGGGGGTAGGGGTGAAGGGACACCGTTTTGGGAGGACAAGGAAATTAGAAAGATCCAAGGTATGTGAGAGAGGCTTAACCCTCTGAGTAACAGCCCTGAGCCCTTCATATGCTTGCCTCAGGATAATTTTGAGGGCAAAGTATGAGAGAGTGCCCCACCTGGAATATGGTGGGGTGCCCCACCTGGAATATAAGCCTGTTCCCTGGCTTTTCTGGTGCTCTAGTATAAGGTAGGTAGCCATGGATGCACTGAACTTTCTTTTGGCCAGAGACACCCAGGTCTTGTGTAGATCATAACCCATATTGAACACTTCTTTCAGTAATTTTGGATCTGAATATTTGGGGAGTGCCTCATTATAATCATGAGGTAAATACTGCTTGCCCTGCATCAGTCATGGTGCTTGGCTGTAGGCTGCTTCCTGGGGCCCAGGGTCAATTTGGTGGGTGAGTATTTGTGTTGCCACAGAAACACAGGGAGGGATGTGGTAGGTTCCAAGCACAATCTGCCTCTGCATCTCCTTAACAGTGGGCACCTCCATATCAACATAAAATACAGAATGACACCCAGGCTCCAGATGTTCAGTGAGCCCTTCATATGCTTGCCTCAGGATAATTTTGAGGGCAAAGTATGAGAGAGTGCCCCACCTGTGGGGACAAAAGGGAGGCTTAAAGATTATCGTGATTTCTCCATGTAGTCCTGTACACAATGCATACATGTTACATCATGACACCAGTAACTGAGGCGGACAAATAGAGAAGTGCAAGAATAGCATTTTCTGGTACTGAAGCTATGCTGCTATAGGTTCACACCAGAATTGCTTGGCTCTGGCTCACATTAAAGGGAATACTTAGGGGAAATGCACAAAAATACCTACAATGACATACCTAAAATGAAAGGGATGGAAATTCAAATATTTTACATGACAAACTGAACAACAAATATGGAAAAATGTTCATCATCTCTAGCAATTAGAGAAATGCTTATGCTCAACCTAAGACCTCAGAAAAAAGACAAAGTAATTCTACAATCAGTAGAAGACAGTAAATAATTAAGATGAAAGCCAAAATTAATGAAATTAAGTATAAAAAATACACAGGATCAAGGCAATGAAGAGTTTTTTCTTTTAAAAGATGAATTAGATTGGTAAATGCTTAGCCAAACTAACCAAAATTAGGGACAAGATAAGGTTGTCCACTCTTACCACTTTTATGTACTATAGTTCTCTAAATTCCAGTCATAGCAATATGACAGGAGGAAATTAAAGAGGTACAAATAGGAAAAGAAGAAGTCAAACTATCTCTTCAGATGACATGATCCTATATCTAGAAGACTACCCACCCCCCCCAAAAACACTACTCCACCTGAAGACTTCTAGAGCTTATAATTATTACAGAAAAGAGCAAAGTAGCAGGATACAAGATCAATCTAGCCAAGGAGGACAAATATCTCTACAATTAAAATTATAGAATTTTCTTTCTCAGAAAAGAAATTGAAGAAGACCTTAGAAAATGGAAACACTTCCCATGTTCTTGCATAGACAGAATTGTCAAAATGACCATACTACCAAAAGTATTATCAGATTTAATGTAATCCCAATCAATTTGGCTTTTTGGTGTTTAGAGTTAGAAAAAAGCAATCCTTAAATTAATTTGGAAGAATAAGAGACCCAGAATAGCAAAAGTAATATTGAGTAAGAAGAATAATGTGGAAACATCACAATACCTGATCTGAAATTATATTGCAGGACTGTAGTAACAAAAATAGCGGGGCTGGGGATGTGGCTCAAGCGGTAATACGCTCGCCTGGCATGCACGGGGCGCTGGGTTAGATCCTCAGCACCACATAAAAAAGAAAATAAAGATGTTCTGTCCACTGAAAACTGAAAATAAATGTTAGATGATTCTCTCTCTCTCTCTCTCTAAAAAAATAGCATGGTATTGACATCAAAGAGACAGGAAGATGAGTGGAATAAAATAGAAGACACAGAAACAAATCCACATACTTACAGCCATCTGATACTTGACAAAGGTGCCCAAAATGTACTTTGAACAAAAGACAACCTTTTTTCACAAATGGTGCTGGAAAAACTGTAAAAAAACTAAGTGGAGAAAAATCAAACTAGTTTTCTATGTTTCACCCTGCATAAAAGTCAAATTGAAATGGATCAAAAATTTAGGAATTAGACCAGAAACTGGTCTAGAAGAAAACATAAGGTAAACACTCCATCATATTGGTGCTGGCACAGACTTCCTTAACAAGACTTCCAAAGCACAAGAAATAAGATGAAGAATCAATACGTGGGGTGGCATAAAATTAAAAGCTTTTGCTCAGAAAGGAAATGATGATGAGTATGAAGACAGAACCAATACCATGCGAGAAAATCTTTGCCAACTACTTCTCCAATAGAGGATTAATATCCAGAATATACCAAAAAAAAAAAAACAAACAAACTAAAAAACACCAAAAAGCCAAATAATCCAACCAATAAATGGACAAAAGAAATAAACATTTCTCAAAGGAAGAAACACCAATGGCCAACAAATATATGAAAACTTGTTCACCATCTCTATTGACCAGGGAAATGCAAATCAAAACCACACTAATATTTCATCTTATTCTATCCAGAATGGCAGTGCTCAAGAATACAAACAATAATAAATGCTGGAGAGGTTGTGGGGAAAATGGTACACTTGTACATTGTTGATGGGATTGTAGACTAGTACAACAAGTCTGGAAAGCAGTCTGAAGATTCCTCAGAAAACTAAGAATGAAACCACCATATGGCCTAGATTTCCCACTCCTTGGTATTTTCCCCAAAGAACTAAAATCAGCATGCTATAGTGATACAGCCAACTCAATGTTTATTGCACCACAATTCACAAGAGCTAAATTATGAAATCAACCCAGGTATCTATCAATAGATGAACAGATTAAGAAATTGTGGTATGTATACACAATGGAGTTCTACTTAGCCATAAATAAGAATGAAATTATAGTTTTTGCTGGTAAATGGATGGAAATGGAGAACATCATGCTAAATGAAATGTCAGACTAAAAAAACTCAAAGGTCAAATGTTTCCTTTCATATGTGGAAGCTATAATTAAAGGAAGGAAAGGAGCAGGTAATGATAGGATAGTATAAAGAAGGAAGATCAGTAGTGTAGGAGAAGGAGATCCAGAGGTATAATGGAGGGATAGGAAAGTGGAGGCAATGTGGAATGAATTTTTAAAAATCCTGTTATGTGCATACATCTTTACATATAAATAAAAAGAACCAATCAAGTATAAAGAAATAGATGAGTGATGGAAAGTCTAGCAGAGTAGAGGAAAAGACTGGGGAGGGATGACCAAGGGGAAAATGGGAGATGGTGAACTGAAATTGAATTCCATACATGTATGATTTTTTCAGGATGAACGCAACTACTACTATAAAGTGCTAATAAAAAAAAAAGAACTACTATATGATCCAGCAATTCTACTACTGGGTATATATGTGAATTAAATAAAATCAGTATAGCAAAGAGACATCTGCACTCCCATGTTAATTGTAGCTCTATTCATAATAGCCAAAAAGGAAAACTGGTGTCCTTCAACTGATGAATAGATAAAGAAAATGTGGTTTGTATGCACAATGGGATACTATTTGTCCATAAAAAGAGTGAAAACCTGTCACTTAGGACAACATGGATGGAACTGGAGATCATTATGTTAAGTGAAAAAAGACAGGCACAGAAAGATAGGTATTGTATGATCTCATTCATATGTGGAATCTAAAAAAGTTGATCTAGAAATTGAGAGTAGAATGGTGGTCACCAGATATCAGTGGAATAGGAGAATAGGAGGGGATGAAGAAATGTTGATTAAAAGGTACTTTGTTGCAATTAGATGGGAGTAATAATTTTTAATGTGCTTTGCATAGCAAGGTAACTATATATGGTGTTTGTGGATCTCAAAGAGTAGAATAAATGATTTTTGAATGTTTTTACCATGAAGAACTAATAAATATTTAGCCTGATTATACAATGTATATGTGTATTGAAACATCACATGATGTTTCACATGATACCTCATTAATATGCACAATTTATGTGTTTTAATGTATCAGATTAAAATAAATTTAATTTAAAAAATGAATAAAAACTTTACAAAGAAGGGACAAAAGGTGTTGAAGGTTGAAACAACAGACATACATTATGTTTGGCTACTTACTAGCAGTATGGCGATTGGCAAGTTACTCAACTTTTCTGTTGAATTACTCAGTTTTCATATAAAGTGGTGACAAATAATTATTCTTACTTCATTGGATTACTGTGAGTGTTAAATTAGACAGCAACTCTAGGTATATAACAATTGCATAATGAATATTAGCTATCACTGGGCAAATACTCTATAACTGCTCTCCACTCTCAGCCCTTTTTATTTTATTTTGGAGATGATGCTGCTAAATTGCTGACACTGACCTTGAACTTTTAATCTTCCTGTTCCCACTCCAGAGTAGCTGGGATTGTAGGCCTGAGCCACCACACATGATTTAATTTCTAGATTTTTTTTTTAAACATGAATTTGCTTCTTTACATCCTCACAATATCCTATTAGGTAACAGTATTATATTTTAGTGTCCTTGTTTTATCGGTAAGAAAACTGGACTTAGGAGAATTGTCCAAAAGCCAAAGCCTGGTGTCTTTCCAATTCCCACATGATTCCTTCTGTAAAGTGCAGCCTGTCACTGCATTATTATCAGTTTAGGAAAAAAATAAAAATAAAAAACAAAACAAAAAACAAGGAACAACATTGAAAAAAGTTTTCTTTTATGATGAATAGACAGAACTAGATGAAATTGAGAGAAAACTTTCATAGCAATAGGAACATCGCCTCCCTGCTTGGCGGCAGGTTAGTGTGACTCTTGAACATATTTGCCGGAAGCAGACGTCCTGATGAACACTTACAGGATGGCATCCACATTGAGTGCAGTTCTGTAATCTTATAGTTTTGTTGCAAAGATGTTCAAATTTATAAAATTGTGTTTTGAAAACATAGCTTTGATATAGTTGACCTGCTACTAAAATGTCAGAGTACAGAAAAGCAACCTGTCCTACACCATGGAATTTTCCAAAGCAATTCGCTACTGTGTGTGTGGGCAGACCTGCATTTGTCTTCCCTCTCAGCTTGACACCTACACTCCTATGCATAAGGGTGGGCCAGTCTGTTTGATAACAAGCATGAATTTTTGGCCTGATGGTTTTCCTGTTTCTGCAAGGTGACATCTCTGCCATGGTAAACACTTACCCAGTCTAGGAAGCTGAAGCTATTCTCAGAAAGCAGTAGGAAGCTAGCATTGTCCAGCTTCCCATTGCTGGGGCACATTTTTTTTTCACTCTTTATGGGGAAGCAGAAGTTCTTGTAGTCAGTAGTCAGTGTTCTCCAACTGCTTGCTGAAAACAAGCAAAGGAAGGACCAGAAACCATATTTAATTTACTTTGAGACCTATTGACTGATTTCTTGTGGATCTTTATGATTCATTATGTTTCTTTCTTAAAGCATCTGAAGTGAGATTTTAAAAACTGCCTATGTTACTAACTAAATATCTGTTAAGACCTCCTGGATGCTTGGTTCTACAGCATTCTCTTCTGTACACATTTTGTGTGTGTGTGTGTGTGTGTGTGTATGTGGTGCTGGGGATTGAACCCAGGGTCTTATGCAAGCTAGACAAGCACTCTACCAACTGAGCTATACCCCCGGCCCTGCACACATTTCTGTTGCCTTGTATGTGAACTCTCAGTGCTAAAGTCTATTTCCTGTGAGACTGTGGGCTTCAGGGAGAGCTACAAATTATGTTGCATCCATTTTTTACATCTGCAGTGCTTTTCAAAGTGCAACCTATGGACCAAGAACATCACCAGTGACTTTGTCAGGTGTAGAATGTCAGAATTCATGATTCAGGATAAACTTCTTAATAAGATCCGTAGGTGCTCTGCGGACACACCTAAAATTAAGTAATACTGCTCTCCAGCACTCTTCACATGGTACATGTTAGATAGTAATGAAGATAGTAAAGCATAATAAAGCATGTGAAGTAGATAATTATCTATGGAATCTTCTCCTCTGCCATTCCTCCCTCCCCCCAACACTCTCTGATAAACTCAGAATCCAAGAATCAATGCAAACCTTGTATTTCTAGAGATAGATAAAATCGACCATTTCAGAATTTACTTGCTCGACTTGGGAAAAATTAAATTTAAATAAGTCATCAATTAGTGGGGTGGGATGGGGAAAGAGTTACTGAACATCAAGTTCAGGTTTATGATTATCATGATGAGCTTCAAGGAGAAGTAAGAGTTCTAAGGCACCAGCTCAGGTCACCTCAGCTCTCCCTCCTACCTCAACTAGCTCATTCACTTTTATTTGTTTCATGAATCAAGTTTTTGTTCATGCTTTATTTACCAAAAAGTTTACAACACAGAATATATACATGTCTTAGTTCATGTGCTGTTATAAAAATACTAAGCCTGGGTAACTTATAAAACATGTAAATGTGTTTTTCATAGTTTTCATGAATGGGAAGCCCAAGATCAAGGTGCTAGCAAGTTTGACTATCTGGTTACATCTTATACTCTGAAGGGGAGGAAGGCTGTGCCCTCACATTATGGAGGAGGAAAGGCAAAGGAAATGAACACTGTGAAGACTCTCCTCTTAGGGAACCTTCATGCCATTCACATGGGGAGGAGTTTTCAAGACCTAATCACCTCTTAAAGGCTCACCTCTTATTACTATCACACTGATCATTAAGTTTCTTTCAACACTTGGATTTTGGAGGGGACACATTCAAATTATAGCGATACACAAAACATACATGCAAAACCATCTCAGCCAAATATCAAAACAAAGTTAAAAACACATTGCTAAGCCATGCATGTTATCACAAAGCAATGGATTAATCACTGTTAATTTGCTGTAGGTATGGCATAATAATTGGATTAAAAATTTAATTATAGGACAAAAGGAAGTGACTTTAACAGTTGAATTTTGCTAGTGGTCCTTTCTCTGTTTCTCCAATTTTAATGTAGGAGGCTGACTATTTTGTTTTCCTGCAGGGTTCATTCTGGTGAGGTTCTGATTTTATGAACTCAAAGTTTTGTTTCGAGAACTTATTTTAGTTGGGTTGAGTTCTGTTCAATCTTTGATAGCAAGCACTGTAGTAGGAGCTGGGCACAGAAAGGTGAGTTTGACCCATTTAGTGCTCTCAAGGAACTTGTGGATCAGTGAGCTAGATA